AGATAGATAGATAGATAGATAGATAGATAGATAGATAGATAGATAGATAGATAGATAGATTTCTCATACGATTATTGCCATGGTCATGTGATCAAAATTTAGATGATTGGCAACTGGCACGAATTTATGATGGTTGTTAGTGTCCCGAGGTCATGTGATCACCTTTTGCAACCTTCTGACATGGAAAGTCAAAGGGAAGCCAGACTTAACAACCATGTTACAAACGTAACTGCAGTGATTCACTTAACAACCATGGCCAGAAAAGTCGTAAAATGGGGGCAAAACTCACTTAATAACTGTTCCTGCTTGAAGTTTGGGGTTCAATTGCGGTTGTAAGTTGAGGACTACTTGTAATTATACTTATTTTTCAATTCACTCACCCATCCTGGCACACATAATTTCCCACACAAATAAGAAAAGCCTCTATGGGTAATATTATTTTTCCTAGTGACAATATTTACTACAACAAATTTAGAAATTACCCCGTTTCCCTGAAAATAAGACCTCCTCAGATAATAAGACCAATTGGGCTTTTGAGCGCATGAGCTAAAATAAGCCCTCCCTGAAAATATTGCAACGCAGCAGCAGCCATGAGGTGATGACACTCGCCACTTCCTGCACCTCAAAAAATACTAAAACCTCTCCGAAAATAAGACCAAGCGCTTATTTTGGGGGATCAAAAGAAAATAAGACCCTGTCTTATTTTTCGGGAAGCATGGTATATACTTTTTTTTTTTAACATTTACCATTTTTCTCTTTTTGTTCCCGATGCCTGAAAAAATGTATGATGTCTTTTGGATTAGCTACCCTATCCATGTACTTCTGGCTGAAACGGACCATGCTGAAGGGTTCGAAGCCTCCGCTGTAATCCACCTTCCAATCAAATAAGATAAAACATAAAAGATGAGAGAATTTGCAATTAGGCATCTGAAAATAATTAAAAATTCATTGGTTGACTTTGATGCACTTATTATGATTTTACTAAAATATTAGCAAACACTTTGTTAGTATAGCAAATTATTTAGTGAAGTAATTAGTATTATAGCATTCTAGCTACTGTTAGTAATTCACAGGAACATCATGTGCTAACAGCTGGCATGTGCTAACAGCTGGCATACCTGAAAATAAGCCGAGGTGGCGCAGTGGTTAAATGCAGCATTGCAGGCTACTTCAGCTGACTGCAGTTCTGCAGTTTGGCT